CACTCGCCATTAGAACCTCCCAATGTTCACTCATGTTCTGTCTTCCTCTCACTCAGAAACCATAAAGTTCCAATCTTGAAAACGATGGAACCCTAATTCTAAAGAGGCCTACATCTTCATGTCACTGCTTAGAGGAGAGAAAAACACTACTGTAAAATCTATATTGCAAAAGCTTTAGTGTACAATGTCTATACACTAAATGCTACTAAGCAGCAACCTTCCCCCAAACAGCAATTTGATCTTGCATAAAAATATTACGAAAGTATTCCCAACACATGATTCATATTATGTAAATTGTATGGCATATGCATTTGCTGTAAAATAACAATATTCTGAAGGATAATCTGTAGAGTGCCATCCAAAATAAATGTCCTTGTATCATAATTAAAATCCATTTACAGAAAATCAAGAACTTGATTTTACTCTTAACCTTCACATTCCATAGAAAAACTTCCCAATAAAATCAAAGTAAGCAGGAAAGATGAGTAAACCTGAAAGCTTTCAGAATAAATAAAAAAGCCATAAATACCATAAGATGAGTAAACCTGAAAGCTTTCAGAATAAATATGTTTGGCTTTTTAAGTATTCTTAGCACTATAAGATGACAAAAGAAAGCACAAAGGTGGCTGTTAGAGTGCCCCTTCCCCCAAACCAATGAAGATCAAGTACTTTCTTTTCCAACTAAGCTTTATTCTGTCCTTTAATTGTAAGTCTAAGGATGCTGAGGACTAGGTCATAGCTTTTCCAAGCTGGATTTATTTTCGATTCACCTGCAGAGCTTCAAAAATACCCACAACATGGTTTTATCCCAGAACAATTAATTCAGAATCTCCAAAGTATATTTTAAGAGCTCCATAGATGAATCAAATGTGCAGTTTGGCTAGGTTCACACCTGCAGAGCTTCAAAAATACCCACAACATGGTTTTATCCCAGAACAATTAATTCAGAATTTCCAAAGTATATTTTAAGAGCTCCATAGATGAATCAAATGTGCAGTTGTTTTGGTGTTAGAGGAACTATCTCAGGATAAAGTTGTGTGCTTGTAGAGGACAGTGCTGAGAAAGGGGAAGAAATTTACCTTTCGGAACGACATTAGACTAGGCACTTAAAATATGATACACATCCTTAGAATAAAACTTCAAGATAAATATTTTTATTCACACTTTAAAAAGTAGAATAATTAAGTTGAAAATATGGGAAATAGAACGTGCTCTGCAGAGCTGATGAAATACTCATTATGGAACATGGATATCTTCCAGTAATATTGTACTTCCTGAAACTAGCAGTGCTTAAGCAAATATTCAAAGACTGGATGCTATATGTGAATAAAAAGATTGAAATAGATCAGCAAACGATGGCTCATTGACCAGATTCAGCCACTGCCTGTTTTATCAATGAGGTTTTATTGGAAATCAGTCACACCCATTCTTTTACTTTTTCTATAGCTTCACTTATGCAACAATGCAGTTTTCAGTAGCTGTGACAGAGACCATATTCCCCTCAAAGCTGTAAATATTTACCATCTAGACTTTATAATCTATGATCTGAATGATCTGAATGTTTGTGTGTCCTCAAAATTCATATGTTGAAATTCTAATCCCCAATGGGATGGTATTGGGAGGCGGTGCATTTGGGAGGAGATTAGGTCATGAGGATGGAGTCCTCATGAAAGGGATTAGTGCTCTTATAAAACACATTTCAGACAGATCCCTTCCCCCCTCTTTCACCATGTGAAAACACAATGAGAAGGCACCATCTGTGAATCAGAAAGTGGGCCCTCAGCAGATACCAAATCTCCTGGGGGCTTGATTTTGGACTTTCCAGATTCCAGAACTGTGAGAAATAAATTTCTATTGTTCATAAGCCACCCATGTTATGGTACTTTGTTACAGCAGCTCAAATAGACTAAGACACTCTTCAACTACATGACCTGTAGCATGCTTTTGCTCTGAAATTTACAAAACTAAAAAATTACTGAATTATTTCAAGGTCCTTTCCAAAAGTGAAATACTGTCTAATTTATTATAATTTAGTATCATAAATGTTCTGATAACATGGCAAGTGAACATCCTGCTTATATTTTCTTTCCTAACCTTAAAGTGGAATGTTCTCTAAGAATCACCAATGAAAAGTGCCAGAGTGGCAGAAAAAATTAACATTGCAAAGTGGTTTAGTATATTTTTCTCGGGGCTTGATCATATAGAAATAATTCCAGACTATTAAAAAAGAAGGTGTTTTATTTAAACAAGGCCATATTGTCAGGTTTCTGCCTTGTTATGTAAGGAGGAAATGCCTAATTTACCATAGCTGCTTTAATCTAAATTAATGATTGCATGGAGCGGACCTCTTCAGTGAGGAGACAAGAATAAAACAAACAAACCTACCATCTGTTATTCCTTCCCTTCGATGAGGCAACACTGGTTGCTGGTCCATGCGCCCTCCCTTGTGTTTTTTACTGGGCCTAGGCCTCTGACTTTGACTCAGGGCTGCACTGGTATTACTGTCAGTAGAAAATGGGCTGGTGGGCCGAGGTCTTTGAGAGGAGGTAAAGGCTTTTCCTAAAAAAGAAAACAAAGGCAGTGGGGCATATAGAATGTCACTATAGTATACTGATTCTGTCTTGCATTTCAGCTTTTACTAAGAATAGCCTGTAAACCTACCTAGAGATGCCGTTTGAATATACCAAGTACTGGTGCACCTCTATCTGCCCTGTTGAATATATTTTGTCCAATTTTTAATAAGCTAACAACACCCACCCACTAAAAAAAAATTCAAACAAATGAACATAAAACAAAACCACCAATCAAAACTTTAATATTGCTTGATTATATTTTTATTTAACCTTGACAATCTTAGTGATACTTTTATAGATATACACAAATTTATGCAGCTTTTACTTCTTAAAATTAGAGAAACTATTTCTGAAATGAATTGTGTACTGTCTCATTTGTTTAATCAAATTTCACCTTTGTTACATTACTTACTCTTTCTGAGCACAGAAAAATGTCCTGTAGTAACTACATTTGAAATTTTACATAAAAGGTCTGCTCAGACACATATATTAAATTGACCTTATCACCTATGCACATACATGATGCATTCTACCTCTTTTAGCAGAAACTCAATCACGTCAGTGTATATCCAAAGTGTAATAGGTATTTTTTAATGAATATTATTGTATCTGACAGACTCCAAATTCACATTGAAAAACAAAATGTGCTATGTCCTTTTCTTGTGGCTTAGTGTACATTTGCAGGGAAATTTATTCTGAGAAAAGGTTAGCTAATAAATTTTCAACAACTTATGACTTTAATACCATGTTTATTATGGTAAGAGAGGCCTGCTTTATGTGCATGTATTTATTCTCTTGTGTATGTTTCTGTTTCATACAAAATTATCATATGTAGTTACATTTTCTTAAGTCAATATGACATGATCTTGCTTAATGCTTTATTAGCAATTAGCATACATGCAAGAAATGCACTTATGCCTTCTAATTTATTAGTCTCCTTGCACTTTCCTACTGCTTTGCTTACAGCTAATGCCACGAAGAGCACTCAGGCAACATAAAGTTTCTGACTTATGCCTTATAAAGCAAGAAAATTCAAATAATGGTTATATTACAACATATTTTAGTTTGGATGCTACGTTAAAAATAAACCTCTGCAATGCTTGCAAAATCTTTTTTTAAAATTTTGTTTGAAGATATTTCATGCATGCTCTAAAGAAACATTGCTGGTATAATAATTCAAAGAAAACTTCTAGGACTCATTTTTATAACCTGAGAGTTTATTGAAGGGTCAAAATCATTTTTCTTTCCTTTACTACTTGAACACTATTAAGATTCAAAAATCCACTTAATGTTTTATTAGTTTGTTTTGTAAGGTAGTTAGTTTAATTCATATATGAGAACCTTCCTATGTGGGCAGTTTTGAAATACACATACAAATACAAGAGCATGTATCATATCAAAGTTATTTTGCTTCAGAAAAACAAATGATTACAAATTACTGATGTATTATTAGAGTTAATCCCACATTTCTTTTTCATAGAATGAGCAGCACATAAAAAAATGACATGATTGGTCTTTTTGTTATTATTTATCACTCTTAGAAATCAAAATCAAATTACTCTTAAGAGCAATACACATGTAGTCATTGCTTTATTCAACTTGCAAATGCAGTGGGTGTATCTTTAATTAGCATCCTTTAAAACAAATAATAAATTATTGTATTAAAATCTTAACAGCCAAATAATTAATAAGACCATCAGCCATTTGAACTGTTAGATCGACAGCCTTAGACCCATTCACCCATGCTGATGAAGCTTTCCCAGAAAACTCATTTGCAGAAAGGGATGGGGCAAAGAAAAGTAATGGAGATAAAAGCTGAGTAATTTTAATCACTGGGTACATTATTGATTGTGTGAGGATTTTGCAAAGTGTGAGTTATTGAAAATTTAATGGCAATCTTAGTTGCTGCTTTGCTGTAATATAAAAAGGAAGCATATTTCAATTAATCAGCAGAGTCGTGAAGAGCAAAAGAAATAAGTGGTAGAAGATGGTGAGTAGGAGCCTATTCTTGGCTCTGCAAACCAGCATCAGAAGACAATTCTGGTAAAGAGCATCCAAACTGTGTTCATGCATATTAAAGAAAGCCTGTGGTCAGACTCACCGACGAAAAAGGACAGGAAAAAAAAGTCAGTGTCCAAAGGACAAGATTCTCTCATGCAAAGAGTGTTGACTTGGAGTCTACCAACCTGTTCTTGTAAGGCTGGTTCCATCCAGCCTAAAACCAGCTTTATCTGCTGCTGCCACCAGTGCTTGTGTAAAACTCCCGCTGGCAAAGATGGAGCCATCTGAGGAGCTACCTACACTAGATCTATGACTAGAAAAGTTACGATCCTCATCAGATGCAGAGCCCCATCCATTTACCATTGAACCTAAAAACAAATGTAGTTGTCTAGTGAGTTGTACATATTGGATATCTCATCTGCTTGTACATACTATACTAACGAGCAAGTAGGCTGTCTCAACTCCTCACTTCTTCCGTCCAGTTTCATCATGACTTCTTTAGTCAAATGCAAGCATTATCCATGTTTTAAACATTCTTAGTGCAAAAGAACAAAGCTTATTTCAAACCCGTATCTGCTTGTGACACATGAACAAAACATGTTCCATATGGTTTAATTCTTACATTGTTTAAATTATTACATGATCATATTCCAAAAAAGATTTGTTATGCATATGCTAAGTTTTCACAATTCAGAGAAGAATATTTTTATTGAAACAAATTATAGTATATTTAAATTTAGCAAGGACTCAGTTGAAGAAATCATGTGAGTGTATCTTGAATTTAATTCAGACTCCAATGATAACATGAAAATAACAGTTGTATACCATAGAAGGGCTAGAATTATTTCAAAGTTTTAAAATAAAAAGTTAATTACTCATGAAATAACAATAAAAATGTATACACAATATCAAAGCAAAAATCTTAGAACATAAAAAATATTTTACAAAATTCTATGCTCATTATACTTCCTTTGCTTTTTAATTATTTTAAGAACTGCAGTTTTCTGTTTAATACTAATATTTATCTGAAAAAATTAACCTTTATGAAGAATATCATTGGCATTAAAATGGATTATTCTGTAAAATGCAACATGGGCAATAGAGGAAAGGAATTGCAGCTTTATGAGTAAAGAGCTGTAAAATTGTGAAGATACCGAGAAATAACTTTTATTCTTAATTTTCTAACAAGTCACTTACAATTTTATATTTTTTCTTAGACCAAAGCACACTGGGAACTTAACCTACTACTTAATAAAACTGATATTACAATATTTATTTCAATATTTATTTTAAAAGTTGGTGTACCATTAATTCATGACACAATAAATTACCGAGTATTGCTTATCCTGATTTTTGTTAAAAGAGGGGCAAAAAGTATTTATAAAAAGCTAATTTAATATTGCTAAATAAACCAAACACATGTTCATCTGAAAGAGATGAAAGCCAAATGCTGTAGATTATTTCTTCTTTCTTTCAGTATTTAAAAGACAACAGTATAGTCAGGAGTGTTGCCATGAGGCAGTATTTGTAATTTTAGTCAAGGTGCCAGGATACGATAACATGGATTCATGCACTTTCAGGATAGAGAAAACAGAAACTGAACAAGTTAGAATGATCTGAGAAGTTAAAAGGGTGTTAAGTGCAGCAGAGAAAGATAGAATTTTGATTGCATTTGCCAAAAGCACGAGAAACACTTTTTACTTTCCGCACATATTCCCCTGACACAGGCCACTGCAAGGAAGCCAAGATAACACCAGCAACTAAGCCTCCTCCAAGAGAATCATTTCTGGGTTAATAGTCACAAGTCAAGGACCACCAGCCCAAAATGAAAGAAGAAATGATGCTATAGGCTTTGCAACGAAGTACTGCAAGATAAGAAAAAATCAAAGTGATTCAGTGAGGTGTCACAAAAGAACATGAAATTCTAGAACTGAGGAAAGTTTTAAAACATTTGAAAGCTCAGTTGTGGTCCTGTCCATGTGCTGTTTTCCAAAATGAAAGAAGAAATGATGCTATAGGCTTTGCAACGAAGTACTGCAAGATAAGAAAAAATCAAAGTGATTCAGTGAGGCGTGGCAAAAGAACATGAAATTCTAGAACTGAGGAACGTTTTAAAACATTTGAAAGCTCAGTTGTGGTCCTGTCCATGTGCTGTTTTCTGTATTTGTAAATTTCTGCTCTAACTCTCCAAACAAGCATCTCCTCATTCTTCATCTCCAATTTCATTCCTAAATTTCTCCTAATTTGAAAGCTCAGTTGTGGTCCTGTCCATGTGCTGTTTTCTGTATTTGTAAATTTCTGCTCTCACTCTCGAAACAAGCATCTCCTCATTCTTCATCTCCAATTTCATTCCTAAATTTCTCCTAACTGAGTCCCTGCTAGTCCCGTCTTATCTTCCTCATTGTGATCTACATTATCTTTCTGAAGCACTTATCCCATACTTCATTCCTTTGTTTAAAGCCTTACCTAGTTTGTCAGTGCCATGTCCAAATTTCTATCAAACTCAACGGATATTTGATACCCTTCAATATCTAGGCCAGCCAAAGCCTGCAGCTCCATTCCTTCTTCCAGCCATGCAGTCTCCTTGCCTCACCTGCACCACACCACCTTCAACGCACCTCTGTATTGCTACCAACTGTATCAACCACTGCCAAACTTTAAAGTCTAAATGAAATGCCATCTCCTTTACCACTTTGATTCTGTCTCACCTGCAACCTTACCCCTTCAACGCACCTCTGTATTGCTACCAACTGTATCAACCACTGCCAAACTTTAAAGTCTAATTGAAATGCCATCTCCTTTACCACTTTGATTCTGTCTCACCTGCAACCTTACCTTAGGAACAGTAGATCCCCCTGCCTCCTTTGTTTTTCAAAAGCTATGCACACCTTAGAATATCAGTTCTCTCCCTATACTGCAGTTTGTTAAATATACAAAGGTATTTCGTGAAGTGCGTGAAAAATGAAATTAAAAGATAAGATGTATCTCTCCATAAACTTTTGAAGACCCCTCATACCTGTTTCCCCTTTTAGACCATGAAATTCTGGAGATAAGGAACTATCTCTTATTCCTATCATATTTCTTGTACAGGGACATTATACAGTAGAAATTCAACAAACAGTGGGCATATTAAATTAAATGTGTTCAGCATTTTTATTATTCACTATAAACTCTATGTGTGATTTTACTTGATATATAATTTCCTAGCAATGACCTTATTTTAGTTATTAGAAAGAATGTCCTCATAAGAACTAGAAAATTTATTAAATAAAGAATATGTTATTCAACTTGTTGACTACTCAGAAAATGGGGAAAGCAGTAATGTAATCATCCAAAATGAGAGAGTAAAAAGTTATATATAATATTCATGTGTATCAAATCAATCAAGATATATAATTAATAATTAATATCTCTATATATGAACATATTATATTATTATATATAATAAGTTATATGTATAATGTAATGTAAGTGCATCAAAGCATAACTGATATATATATATATATTATACACTTGAATAATTGGTATTTAGCAATATCTTAATCAAATTAAGATCATGAAATCATCTTAAGTGGCAACTTATTTTTTGCATGTATATGGCCTCTCTGTCCACACATACCCAACTTAATGTACTTAGCCCAATTTTTATTTTTCTTTTTAATTCTCCTTTCTCCACTATAACCAGTCAGGAAATAGTGGGGTTTGTTTTGTTTTATGTATAAGTCTACTTGCTATGTGATTCCAGGCCAAGGAAGTAGCATATTGACAAATTTAGTTTCTGAAAGAGCACAACTTAGAAAAAAATTTCTTTAATGACATCACAGCAATGTCACTAAAGAAATGCCATACTGTGAGACCTCCAAACAGAAAATTAGCTTAACATTTCCCCCCAAAATCCTTGTTTATCTCCCTGTGATAGTGAGCCCTTCACATGAGGATTTCCATACACACATTGGCCATTCCCTAAACAAATCAATTACTTTTCCACCTTTGTGTCTTTGTTCTGACTCTCTCTCAACCTTTAATGTTCCTTGCCATGTCCTTAGAAATCCCATTTATTCATCAAGTTTTTTCTGACTTTTTTTTCCTCTCTCTGGGAATACAGAAAGAGCATCACCCATTCTTTCTTTGTACTCCCTGTAAGAGCAAAGAGATTAGATAGATAACTTCAGAGTTTGAGAGACACGTGCCATAGATATTTGGCCGAGTTGGGCAACAGAAAACCCAATGGCCCTAAGCCAAAGAGAAAAAAGTGCCTCCGGTTAGTATGGTTGTGTTTACCTTTAAAATGGAGAGCAAGGAATGAAAAAGACAAAGGAATACACTTTCTCTCTTTGTCTTTCTGCCTTGTATCTTCAACACCCTCTCCTCCCAGTTTGGGTAAGATATATGGAATGGGCATGTTTTCAGGGAATATTTGATAAGATGTTTGGTCCCATTCCATGAATAAAAAACTGTATAACATAAATTAAAATTCCTCCTGTAAAATAGCTAATATTTATTTAACATTTACTGATTTCACCTCTCAGTGGAGACAATTTTTCCTCTTCCTTTAGATTTAAACATCAAGAAATCAAGAATGACCTGAAAATTTAAGTAAACAATTACCAAAGGAGGAGGAAGAGGAGGATGAGGAGGAGATGATGACAATGATTGGAAGAAAAGAAAAACATTTAACTCATGAATTAAAAAGTAAATCATTTTTGTGATAACTGGTGTGTTTTCATAAATGTAGATATAAAATGAAAATGAACACGAGGTAAAAGCAGCTCAGCTAGAGATTCTTTACAAATTACAAGCAATCCATACCAATTTGACATGTTATAGCTCCAAACATAATCAATACATATTTAAACATTTAATGAAAAATGAATTTATGTCATTTACTCAAATTTATTTGTGTTTACATTTTTAATCTTCCCAAATTTCTCAGGTTTAAAATTGCTGAAAGGCCAAAAACAGATCTCAAATTTATTCAAGCTGTTAAAGAAGAACTGCACATAGGACATTAAGTTGTTGTCCAAATGCTACTGAGCAGTAAAATACCATGATAAAGTGGCATCTTGCTGTGTCTCTATTACATCTTCAGCACTAAAATTAATTTATGATCAGTCATCAATTCATTTACATGTCGTTTTATGCTAAATCCTTCCTTGCTGATAAATGCTTATCCTTAGATCCATTAAGCTAGAGTAAAGTCTGTGCCTTATAATATGATCCTGCTAATTGTTGCATTACCATTTTTATGAGATACAAAAACTAGCTGTCCCCCATTTTTTCAGCCAATATTTATTCTAGGAACTCTTCCTATTAAGTGCTATTTGTCTAACTACCTGTTAAGTAATGTCTTCAGCTATAAATGTCTTTGGACAAATCAATCCAAATACTGACCCCTGCTTAAAGTAGAAAAACAGGTCTAATCTATAGAAGTTTTTCTTTCATTCAAACATATGGAATATGCAACAATTCCACCTACATTCCTCAGAGAGAAAGGAATGTGTAATATATATGGAAAGCAAAATAAGCAATTAAAAAATCCCTTCCTTGGGACATATGGCACCTGCTAACTTGTTTCACTCAGATAAAAATCGTACATATAATATGCCCCTTTTTATCTGCGAAATTTTGAAGTGTGTATTTAATTTATTTTTAAAGATATCAAAACAGTTGAAGCAGCTTAAGAAAATGCTTTAATTATTTTTAGCATTATCCCCAAAATATCCGTTTACTAAAATTATTCTTCTTAAGATTTGCAGCAAAAGCAAAGCTTCAGGTCAAATTTTTTAGTGGCCAAAGCTCTAAAAGCTGTGTGGTCGATTCAGGTCGTGAGGCTGCCAGGTTTTATTGTTTTTCTACTGATCTGGTGTGGGAGTTCCAGTAAAAACCTCCAAAGACATAAAATAGAAAATACAGAGCCACAATTTCCTTTCAGCCGTGGTATTCATGTGGGGTCCAGCAGTCAAGGAAACTTTTATTCATTTCACTTAACAGCACGCTCTCTCAGTCTCACTTTTTGTGATCACTGAGGCAGTTAGAATCTTGGCTACAAATTCAGGACATTTTCCTCCTGCTTTTTCTCCTATTGCCTTCTGTTTCTCTTTTCCTGGTGGTGTCATTAAATTCAGGAAACAATTACCCTTGACTCCCACCATGGAAGTTATAGAAAGAAGAATTGAAGGCTTACCCTGTCCTTTACCCAAAGATGGTGGGTTTGGCATGCAGGAAGAAATATTACAAGTATATTCCTGAACAGAGAAACAATCCTGCATGGTAACTTCCTAGCCCCAAACAGAGTATGATGTGCTGTAATAAATGTATTTTGTACTTCATTACAGTCAAATAGGTATGTTATGAACATAGATTAAAATAAAAATTATAAAAATGAGATTCCCTACAAAAAGTCCTGATAAAGTTGAATTTTATTGGCATGGGTAACTATAACTAACATAGAACTAAATATGAGAACAGTAAATAATAAAAGTCACATCTAAAATTTAATATTTTGATTTTCATTAAATGCATAGGGGGTAAGGGCTAATGTTTCCAGAGATAAAATTATATGTTGTCCTTGTATAAATACATATTTATTTGCATGTGCATACATATACACACACAGATACACATACTAAATAACAGAACAGACCATTATTTTCCTCTTAAATATGCTAATTCTAGAGATTAGAAGAAAGTCGGGCATTTCCAGAGCAGGGATCGTGATAATTTATCTTTAGAGTAAAATTGATTGATTTTGAACATCTTCTGCCACATATCAGGTGGGCAACCTTGACAAAGGCTTTAAACTCCTCTGTGACTCAATTTTTTAATTTATAAAATGAGAAGAATCATAATAGTAGGGTTGTGACAATTAAATGAGTTAATGTATGTTAAAACCTTAGAACAAGGGTTGGCAAACTTTTTCTAGAAAATGACAGATACTAAATATTTTCAATTTTGCTGTTTCTGTCATATATTCTTCTTTGTTTTCGTTCGTTTCCTGTTTTCCTACAACCCTTTAAAAAATATGAAATCATTCTTATCTCCTCTGTGACTCAATTTTTTAATTTATAAAATGAGAAGAATCATAATAGTAGGGTTGTGAGAATTAAATGAGTTAATGTATGTTAAAACCTTAGAACAAGGGTTGGCAAACTTTTTCTAGAAAATGACAGATACTAAATATTTTCAACTTTGCTGTTTCTGTCATATATTCTTCTTTGTTTTTGTTCGTTTCCTGTTTTCCTACAACCCTTTAAAAAATATGAAATCATTCTTAGCTCACTAGGCCACACAAAAAACAGGCCACTGCTTAGAAATGTGCTTTGCACTTACTAAGGGCTACATATATGCTACTTTATTTTTATTCTTCTTATTAGCATTTAGTCTAAATTCCTAGCCCAGTGATTGGAAGTAAGAGGCATTCAATAAATGTTTGTTTTAGAAATAAATAAATAACACAACAGATTTGCAAAGAAATATTTCCCATTACTGAGTTTGGGACTACTGATATTTTCCTCTCTTCTTGGCCTTTTCCATTCACAAACCATAATTTCAAAATTTAAGAAGTCTCTCACAAATTAACTAGTTGTTATAAAAATATTTGGAGTTAATATGCTTATTTCTTTACAAAGCTGTGCTCTATACCTTGTTACCTGCTGATACTCCCTAATGTGGCAGCTACGAAGTATAATAAATTCAAGTAAAATCCTGTATAATTTTATATACAGGCTTATAGGCCTCCTGATGTTATCATTCTCATTGGCTTCAGTTTCAGGGAATGGCACATAGCTGTTAGTTCTATTAAATAAAAGTGGTCATTAGTTTCACAAAAATATATCTATCAAGGAATTTCAGGTAAAAGTAATGACTAATTTACTCATACCACAAATTTAGAACTCAAAGTAACTGATGGTAAGATCAGAATCCACTGTGTGGGCACTTAGCATTTTAAAAACATAAAAAGCCAATACAGGGTCTTTTAATAACTGACACTGACCATAAGTGTGACTTGCAGAAGCTTACATTTACATATTCAAAACCACATACAGAATTAATCACAGGCACTTTGAAGAATCTGAAAGGAGTCCTTTATGACGGTATCAGAAATTAGTTCAAGGATAAACTAACTGACACTAAATAGTAAATTAGAAAAGATTCTCATAAAGCCAAAAGCATTTTAGCCTGAAATTCAGCAGATCTGAATTCTTGCCATGGTTTACTCTCTTACGAGCTATGTGACTTTGGTCAAATTATTTAACATTTCTGCAGATAATGTCTTTAAACAATTAAGGATTGTACAATAGCATTTCTTACCCTAGGTATATAGTTCTATGAGAATCTCCTGTGAATTAATGTGAAAGACCATTTTCATGTGTTGAAAGCATGAATCTCTTGACTTAATGAGAAAATTTACCATGTTTGCTTTGCTATGTCAAACTGATAAGCCCTTGTCAACTCGTCCAGGTGAGCCTGCAGCATGGGTTGCTACTCCAGAAAGTCTAACAATATGATTTATGGTGGGGCTTTGAGTCACACAGTATCAGCTCTACCTCTGGAGAAGCTGGGGACAGGTCAGCCATGTGTGTAGTCATGTCTAGTGACAGAGCCCGAATAAAGTCTCTGGACCTCAGGGCTTGTGTGCTCTTCCCTGGTGGGCAATACTCCATTTGTATTGTCACAGTCTTTGGTGGGAAAGTAATGCTGTCCTTTACTCCATTGTGAGAAGACAACTGGAAGATCTGCTTTTGGAATATTCCCAGACTCTGCCCCACGCATTCCTTCTATTGGCTGGTTTTCATCTGTATTTTTTCACTGTAATAAACTGTAACTTTGAATATGAAAGCTTTCAGTGGGTTCTATGACTTTGAGTGAATTCTTGAACCTTAGGGTGGTCTTGGGGAAACAGGTAAACTTGTACTTGATGTCAGAATGAGAGTGGTCTTGAGGACAGCCCTTTAATGTCATATATGAGTTAATTACTGTTATCAACACCATTTTACATACAGGAAACTATAACATGTAAATTTAAGCAAATTGCCCAGGGTCATACAGCTAGTAGGACAGGTTCACCTCTATGGCACCTCCTCTTTGGCTGTCCCCGGTCAAAATCCCAGACCAAGCATCAGAATCTGTCTGGGGGTGGTATCAACATAGTTTAAGGTTATTTGGGTAATTCCAAAATGCAGGCAAATTTGAGAACTCTTGAGCTAGTGTCTGTGCTTTAAGTGGCTAAACTGCACAGCTTCATTAGTTAACTTAAAAGAAATCCTATGGCTCTTTAAGCAGCTGGCTTCAACTTAGTAGTGATGTTCTACGAAAAGCAGCATAATACAAAAAGTACCATTTAACTACAGGTTGTCTTTGACCTTTGAGAAAATATCTGATGATTGGGAAAATGTTAAAAAAACCCCTCTGATTCTAAATAAAGAGCCTGTTTGTAATAAGCTTAAAGTGATATTCCTAGTTTTGGTATCTCTTTGTATCTATAATTAGCTGTATTTAAAAAATAAATAGTTCAATAACAATGAGAATAAAAATTATTTCATTATTTCAGTTATTTCATCAACTTATCCCTGTAGCTAAAACTATCCAAAAAAAAAGAAAAAAAGAAAGAAATACTATTTTAAAAAAATTTACTCTGACTTTAAGCACAGGGTGTAAATCAACAGAAGATAATTGAAGGTATGTCACTGATATTTCATTTGTAAGAGTCCAGACTTGTATCACTATTTGGGAGAAGAAAGAACAAATAAGAAAAAAAATATGTAAAGTTGTGATAGTTAGTCCCATCTGTATTTATGCCACAGTCTTTTTTTTTTTTTGTATGCTTTTACTATTGCTAATATTGTTATTTTTTTCTGTCTCATTTAATTCAGCCCAAACAGGGTCTTTTAATAACTGACACTGACCATAAGTGTGACTTGCAGAAGCTTACATTTACATATTCAAAACCACATACAGAATTAATCACAGGCACTTTGAAGAATCTGAAAGGAGTCCTTTATGACGGTATCAGAAATTAGTTCAAGGATAAACTAACTGACACTAAATAGTAAATTAGAAAAGATTCTCATAAAGCCAAAAGCATTTTAGCCTGAAATTCAGCAGATCTGAATTCTTGCCGTGGTTTACTCTCTTACGAGCTATGTGACTTTGGTCAAATTATTTAACATTTCTGCAGATAATGTCTTTAAACAATTAAGGATTGTACAATAGCATTTCTTACCCTAGGTATATAGTTCTATGAGAATCTCCTGTGAATTAATGTGAAAGACCATTTTCATGTGTTGAAAGCATGAATCTCTTGACTTAATGAGAAAATTTACCATGTTTGCTTTGCTATGTCAAACTGATAAGCCCTTGTCAACTCGTCCAGGTGAGCCTGCAGCATGGGTTGCATCTCTTCCCGTGGGGATGGAGTGAGAGTTGCAGTGGACTGCTGTCCAAAGGAAATAGCAGGAGAGGAAGCCACGCCTCGGACAGGAGGTGTTGGGACCCGATCATCATCTTCTTCCAGTTCATCTTCCATGCCCTGGTGTAGGTATGTTTGTACTGGTAATGGTGGGCACCAGCTATCACTGTCATAGCTGAAATTAAATGAGGAAAAAAATGCACATTGACACACACACATGCACCCACACAGTTATACCAGCAATAAACAGCAACCACGTAGTATGTGAAATGTTCTTTCAGTTTACATCCTCCTGATCAAGTTGTTGGTGCTATCATAGTAAATCACCTGCCTGTTATCTTAATTTCTAACCATAATTAAATCTGTTATCGCAATATCTCAATTTATTCATGAAAGACCTTATTACCTAATTGTTACCCCACAGTTACAAAAGGCAATAACTTCCCAACAAAGTTACTCATGTGGAAAAACCAAATTGCTAATTAAAGACAATTAATGAATTCAGTGCTTGTAAATTTAACTACTTCCTTCTCCTGTTCAGCCCTGTGCACAGACACAATATGACAGTGTAGCTGACTGATCATCAAAGAAGAGTCGAGGAATTTTATTTACTCTTATTCTAGATCTATGTCAACTTTACATTCCATATGACATGTCAGTCATTAAGATTGTGTAATGTGAACTGTATTCAATATCCCCTTGATTCTCTTAATTTTCTCAGTAGAAACTATCTTCCTTTGTCTTGACCTCTAAATTCAAATCATAAAACAAGCTCAAAACCTTGCCCTATAAAGTATATCTTATAAAGAAAAATAACAATCTTTTTATAGTAGTAAAAACATTTAACATGAGATCTACCCTTTTAACAAATTTTTAAGTGTACAATGCAACAATTACTTTAAAACAGAATTTTTTTGTGGACTCTAGCTAGGAATATTAAAAATTAATTTAAAAAGTTTTAATTGTGGTACAAAATCAATTTTTACACTTTCTTTGTAGTCCTAGTATTTTTAGAAATCAAATAGATCCCAACATACTTTTGGAAAGAGACCTAAGGATAAGATAAACAATACAAATGAATATTATTTTCCTGTAAATTCAACCTCTTAAATATCTCCTGGATCTCTCTCCTACACTTCAGCCCTACTTCCACTATCACAGATTAGTCTCCTTCTGATGCAAACTAGCTCATTAGTTTTCTTAGTCTCTTGGGATGCTGTCTTGTTTTCCACCCTATATTCCATACAAGCAAGAAAATTATATTTCTAAAATCATCTTTCACATCATACCTGTGCTTATCATTGTTCAGTGATTATAACTAGTATAAGAAAAGTCCAGAATCATTAACTGGACCTAAAAGATCCTTTCTCATCTGATCAACACATTTATCATCTTTCACATCATACCTGTGCTTATCATTGTTCAGTGATTATAACTAGTATAAGAAAATTCCAGAATCATTAACTGGACCTAAAAGATCCTTTCTCATCTGATCAACACATTCCTTTCTAGCTTAATTTCCCACTATTTCCCAAGACCCGCCTACTCGGTATTTTTTCTAAATTCTGGGTCTCTATATGGTGGTTCTTAAATCATCTTCCTGTGGACTTCTGCTCTTCTTTCAAGGCTCACTTCAAATGTCATCAGTTTGTGAAGGCTTCTCTGCCTCCTCCGTATAGAATTGACTACAACTCCATAAAATGTATGTTGTAGTACTTCTCATTATATTGACATTATTTGTTTCTGTGTCTCTTTTCTCTTATTAAGCGTCTCCTGAAACCCAACAACTCTGTAGTTCTCAGCTTTATATTTCTAGCACCTTATACAGTATGTGGCATATGGGAGATAGTCATTAAAAAAACTGAAAGCAGAATAAAAATCATAAATGTATATAACTACCCTTGATTTCTCTTATAAACTGTAATTCCTAAATGTCCAGATAATTCTGGAATACTTTCAATTGAATGCCTTTTCACTTATCCTGTTTCAAACTGAATTGATCACGAAAACCTGCACATGTATGTTTATCACAGCTTTATTCATAATTGTCAAAATTTGGAATCAACCAAGATGTCCCCCAGAAGGCAGACGGATAAATAAACTGTGGTACATCCAGACAATGGAATATTTATTCACTGCTAAGAAGGGAGTGAGCTGTCAAGCCTTGAAAAGACATGGAGGAAACCTAAATGCACATTACTAAGTGAAAGTAGCCAATCTGAAAAAGATACACATCATAAGATTCCAACATGACATTCTAGAAAAGATAAAACTATGGAGACAGGAAAAAGATCAGTAGTGGCTAAGGGCTAGGGAGGGAGAGATGAATGAGTGGAGCACAGAGGAATTTTAGGGCCATGAAAGTACTCAGTATGATACAATAATTGTGGACGTATGTCATTATAAATTTGTCCAAACCCAGAGAATGTACAATATCAAGAGTCAATATCAACAGTGAACCCTAATGTAAACTATGGACTCCGAGTGATAATGATGTGTCATTGTAGGTTCATCAATTACACCAGATATACCACTCTGGTGGGGGATGTTGATAGTAGGGGAGGCTATGCATGAGTGGTGGCTATGGTGAATCTCTATATCTTCTACTCAGTATTGCTGTGAACCTAAAAGTGATCTACAAAGTAAAATCTATTTTAACCTCCCCCCCAAATTTATCATTCTTTTGTCTGACAATCATGTGTCAGGGCCCTGAATCTATATCACAGGCATACAACCAGCAAGGCAGACTGATGTTAAACAAATAATTAACAATACAGAGTACTATGGGAGTAGAGAGCAGAAGCCTACCCTAGTTTTGGGGTTGGGCAAGGCTATGCTGACCACCAGAAAAGGGAATATATTAAGTAACACATGAAGAATAGAAAGGTACTTGAAGAACTCAAACAGTTCCTTAAATAACAAGATATGGCAAAGAAAGAAAACAATTGGCCATAGATGTGGCAAGAGAGGTGGCGACGGGCAGGTCACAGAGTGCTTCATCAGCCCCGAGAAGGAGTTTGAAATTTTCCTGAGAGTGATAAATAGTTACCAAGAGGTTTTATACAGGAAATGATATCTGTAGCTGTTCAATCTCACAGAACCCCTAAATTCATTTTCCCAAATCCCAAAAATTATTACTTCACAGTTAGTTTTACTTTTGATTCCTTTATTCTTATTTTCAAGGCCATATTCCTCTCTTGCTGAGGCTACCTGAATAATCTAGCTCAGTGAATTGCACACTGAAGACACTATTTCAGAAGCCCTATACAGTTTGATAGGAATCTCTCTTTCTAAATATCTTTTATAATGTAGTATAAATAACAAGCACACATTGGTGTGTTACAAATAACAATTTTTATATAATGGAAAATACCATTGGTTAAACTTGTATTCCCACTGACTGACTATATAATGAGTACCATTCTGAACTGAAAAGATATATTGCTCAAAATCTATGCCATTTTTATCTGTTTTATATGCTGGAGATCATAGTTATATTTCATTTGAAGAAAAGATTTTATTGCTAAAAATGTTTGTAATCCACTGTCCTGGTTGGATTTACTGCTTTTAGTTTTTCCTATCCTCTAGTCAAGCCTGCCAACCACTTAAAAATTCAAGTACAAAATACACTGAAATAGTCTGAATAAAAACATTTATTTATTCATGCTATTCTGCCCATTAATTATGTCTAAGACTCAACCTACCTTTTCAGACAGTTTTTACAGTTTCTCAACAAGAATCTAATCTCCTGCTCAAAGTCAACTGGTTTGTTTCCTTGTTTCTTTGTACTTTTCTATCCTGGTACATTCATCTATAGAATTCAACCTATTTCAAATAAGGTGTATTCCTCCAATTTTATCCAACTTAATCTTACAAATCCATCAAGCTACAGGCTAAGTCCCATATCTTTTATAAAGATTTCCTTGACAAGGCCCATCAGTACTGAAATATTATTCTTCTGAACTTGCACTAACAATATTTTTACACATTTATTTGAAAATTGATTACATGAAATCTTTTGCCATTTCCTATAAATGTTCCTTTAAATGTTGTCTAATTTATTTTAATATTTAATCTTTCACCTGTTTATACTATCTTCTCCTCAAGCTGATTATAAGTATTACATTGAATATTCTTATTGTGCTACACTTAACATAATACCTTAAAAATAATGTCATGTATACATTTATTGATTTGGAAGGAAAAGACAAATTGCTTCATTAATAAAAATGCTTAGCGTTTTTTCTTAACTTAATTATTTGTTGTTAAATGCCATATTATTAAGTCAAACAGATATGTATAAAAAGGCTAATCAAAACAGAACGGTGGATTTTCAGTATGGAATATGCTGTTATACTTCATCAGTAGTTATAATTTCATTTACTCTGTAAAACTTGTTACAAAAGAGCAGAAAGTAATAGGTGCTTTTTCCTTGCTTACAATGGCTTATTGCCAAGGATATTGCACTTTTGAATAAAAAAGAACATGTTTATATATTCAATCTTTCAAATGGAAATAGTTAATTATCTCCTAAAATTTCCCTTCTTCGTAAGTTGTAAAGTATTCCTACTTTTAATAATTTAATGGAGATATACACATGGAATAAAAAATACATAGAGAACATTATAGAAATAAGAAATGTGTTGTATGTACCATGTGTTAAAGTAACATAGAAGAAAACAATTGTAATTAGTTTTACTTGATTTATTTTCTATTATCCAAATACGATCAGGAAAAAGAAAGTCTAACCATACAAATACTATTTTTGACATTATGCAGCTACACTGCGTAATGTACTAAATGACTCGAACATATTTCACTAGCTATTCCATTTATGTAGAATGGATGTTATCACTAATTGCTTCATGTCTTTTCTGCAAAGATACCCTAGAGCAGGAGTGAGCACACTCTGTACCCCTGTGGGGTAAGAAAAGCTGAGAACAGTCCATGGATTTATCTAAGTGGTTTGTGCCCAAAGAGAAAAAATGGAAAGAGAAAAAAGAAAAGACTAAGAGAAAAACATGAAATAAGTGAAGGGAATTTGGGACATAGTGCATGTCACAGGATGAAGAAGAACTGTTCATCATCTCTGTGGTGTTCTCATCTCAATCCATTCCAGAGCAACAAATACTTAAGTTTCAGGCAATTAATGAAGAAAGACAAGAAAGTAACAGATGTCTATAAATGTATAAAGTGTAGCTCTATTTTTATAGTTTCCTTCACATTTTACAGATACACATTTTTTTTTTCCTTTGGCAAGTGAAATTTCTTCCCATTTGCATGGCAAATGGTGACATTAGTAAAATTTTGTTGTAGTTGTTGGTTAACAATTTATCCTTGTGCAAAGGCCAGTTTAGGTTGGAAACTATTTCTTCTTATCCTTTGTCCTTATATTTGGCTCAGTGCTTGGCACCCTACAGCCATCCCACTCTAGGTAATTATTTGTAAAGAAATGATAAATATTCACCTCAAAACTCAACTTACATAAGCTTTCCCCAGGTGTACCTGATATACATGATTACCCCTTTCTGTGGGCAAATTATTATTTTGCACACATTGTCACTTGCGGCTTGTTGTACAAAATAGTGTGTGTGTGTGTGTGTGCGCACGTGTGTGTGCGTGTGTGTGTGTGTGTGTGTTGGGAGGGGAGTAGTGTCTAGTGTCTCATGCCTACCTCCCTCTGCTATCAGCTTCCTAGATCAAGGATCAGATCTTCCTTATTAATTTTGTTTTCACCTCATTGTCTGCTGCTTCGCTTTCTAACACCAGGCTTAGCATTTCTTATGGACTTGAAAAAAATGTCTGTTGAATAAGTACTTTATTAAGATATGTTAGCAACAATTGTATATCATCATAAGCAGTACAATTGCAGAATTCTTGGTTGTTAGAAAAATTATTAAAAGCAAAAAAAAAAATTCTAAAGTTTTTGTATACCAAGAAAATCTTAAACCTGAATTAAAACATACAGACAATTCTGTAGATCTCTTTTGTGAAATATTCAATGTTAATATCAAGAATAACAGAGTATAATCTATGATGTGTTCAATAATGACTGCTTCAGTATCATATGTTTTACATAGTCGGAAACACAAAAGTATTTAAAAAATCAAGAAATAGACAAAATTATCCCCAAATTTACTAATTTTAATTTATCCTTGATACAATGAATTTAAATATATGTTTTTATTACAAACAACTGAAATAAAAACTTTCATTCATTAAAATTTAAAAAACTGAGCCTGGAGAGTAAAGAAAATTGAATTTTGCTGTTAGTATTACTAACTGATTAAGATCTAACCACTATTTTTGGTAAAAATGATAACTTTTTTTTTTTATAGCAAATACTAGGAGCTTAAGGCCAATAAGAACTCAAAGGTAAACTAGGGCTCAACTACATGCCACGAAGATTTTGAATAGATATGTGTATATTTATATATAAAAAAAATTTGTGTGTGTATAGAAAAATATATATTTTTTACCTATGCAAAATGTCAAATGGAAATTTTTAAAAAAGAATTTCTAATATCATGATTGTGGTTGAATATTAAAGTAACTTATAATTCCCAAATACTTATAAATAACTTCATGTTTTACATCTTAGTATTCTGAAAATAATTTCTGTCAAAAAATAAACATCCGGACCAATATGTATTATTTCATTCACCAAATGAATATTTCCAATTCTATTACTGGGTAACAAAAATCGAGTGATAAGTTTAACATTTATATTGATTGAACTAGTTATATTTCAATGGGTAATAGGTATTATTATAGCCTATGTATTTTTTAAGTAGACTCAGTAAGAGAAAAAAAGAAAGAATTCCAAATCACCCACAATTTTCATGTGATCTGAGTTCAGGACTGTGCTCATAAAGCTTTAACAACACTACTTTCTCTCTCCATTTTACAAATTCCGTTTCCTCATTCTCTGACTACAGCCTTTAAAATGCAGATTTCTGAGCCCTGTGATTATCTTTTTTTGTGGAATATACACGTCTGGCTTTTCTTTACTCAGGATCCCTGTGACACTGACACATTTATATCATTGGCATGTACTATTTAAGATCATATACACATACAGAATTTTATTTTTTAAAAAAAGTCACAGAAAGAGGACATGGGTCTTATCTTAGTGTATTATTTCAAATGTGAACTTTTTTAAAAAAGTAAAATAATAATGATATGCGTTATATATGGGCACTACAATTCCAGAGAGATAAATGAAGTCCTTTGGAGGGAAAGACAGAGAGGAAATATATTTATGTATGTGTGTGTATGTTTATGAGTGCGTGTGCATATACACAAGTATATATACATATATATAATACATATGTGTAGTATGTGTATGTGTATATAAACACATATAAATATTCATATATATCCTGAGGAAAAGGCAAATGACTTCTTTGGAAGGAAGTATGACATAGAACGTTCTAGTTAAAAAAATTAATTTGGAGACCTCAAAAACAGCAGCTATATACATAGAAAAGACAGAAATAATTTATAAGCATGTATCTGTGATCTTTATTTGAACCAAGACAAGAAATAAAACTATTATTCAAATAAAATGAGATGTTGTAATATCTAAATATTTCTAAGTAAAAGAAAAAACCTTATGAAAAGAAAAACTGCCTTTTTTCCATATTTTTAGGTTACATAAAGGCCCAGTCAAAATAAACAGTGAGCTGGGAATTATAAAAAAGACAGAGCATTTAAAATATTAAAATAGAAAAAGAGTCTGAGTATGTTTCTTTTGACCTGCTTTTTATTTATTTTTTTTAGAATTAGAGATTTAAAAGTATCTGTTTCTTTGTGTTTACAATCAATTAACACTTAAACAGAGGAAAACTAACTCTTAAGAGATATTTGGGAAAGAAAGGAAATTGGTCACATTTAAAGGCCTTCAAAGGAAATATTCTAACTCAAAAAGGTTTTGCTATGGAGTGTGCATTGGCTTGAACCTCCTTTATTGTTCCATCCTCTAAATTCCCATCAAAGCTGATGATTAAACTTCTACCCACTGGCTAGGTCCCTACAATTATCCCATTGTGATGGTGCTCTACAGTGGCGTCCTGCTATGGCCAGACATCAAGTCATTAGAGAACTGCAAGGGATGATGAAGAAGGTTATTTTAATTCTCTTTTCAACCCTTCTCAGGAGTGGCTCTTTAGTTCACAGAGCTGTGGGTACCTGCTTTCAAACTAACAAGCAACATTATAAATGGAAGCTGCATTATCATGATTGCAGACAATCTAAGACACTTGAAGGCCAAGGATTTCAGTCCTCAATGTGTGCTGTTTTGTATTTATCAGCTAAAAATATATAGACAGTGCAAACAATAAAAGGGGGAAATGCAATGAACAGGGTGGGAAGGGGCAGGAAAAACAATGTGAAAACACAGGATAAAGATGAAAATTGACAATAGAGAGGGGAGGACAGCCTTGGCTATTTTGTTGGTATATAAATATTTTTACCCATTTTCTTGCTGTTCGACTGCATAGTGTTCCAGCTCTGTACCAGGAAGGGGCTGGACTGGGGGGGGAGGTAGAGGGACACTGGCCCAGGTCGATCCATTATTTTTCTGCGGTTTAGAAGAGTTTTTATTTTTCTTCTTTTTTCCACCTTTCCCACCTGAAAGTGATAATGCAATTTATTCAGAGATGTCAAATATCAGAAGAAACAGAGTACATCAGATGGGAAGATGTATTCGTGTTTTCAAAACACCAGAATCAGTATATTAGAGTTGTGAAAAGCTATAAACAATGAAATGATATAATCAGAAAAACATTTTTATAAATCACTCAAAATGATATTGTTTTCTTCCCAGTGCATTAGCTGCAGAGCTGAATAAACCAAAAACCATGGCTGCTATATCGAAAGCACACTTATTGATTTATTCATGTCTGCTGCCTCCACGTTTTCATTTGTTAGACGAAATAATGGGCCATAAGAAATTCTTTTAAATGTCAGATTTTAGTGCACTTATAATGCTCTTTTGCATAATCTCTCTCAGTGGAAAATGCAGTGTCTAAGGATACAGGCTAAATTTTTCCATTAGAATTTACTCAATTTAATTAATCCAGGAGAGTAACATTTTTCTCTCAAAAGTAACTTATACAAATCAATCAACCACAATCTGGAGACTATTTATAAATCTTTCACAATGATATGTTTTATTGACTTTTTAAAGTAATGAATGGCACAACTATTTTTGCATGTGGTGAGAGCAGATCCCAGCTGTTTTAAGTATAATATTTCATAAAATTTCAAAAATGGGGAAAAATTAATGGAAATACAGTAATCAGTTGCAGTCGTATTATAATACAAATGAATTCATGCACAAACATGAGCAGAAAGTAAGTCAGCAGCATATAAGCCATATCTGGGACTACATGGAGCTTAATGAAACATAAAAGTAAAATTTATCATTTGTATAGTGCTGTACTTTTATTCTCCCCAAATTAAGCAGATAAAGCTTCTTCCTAAGAAATGGACCACAGTAGAATGCAGGAACGTGCAGAAGGCAAAGACATTCCAGGGTAACCTAAGTTACTTCTGTCACTCCCACTACAGCCTATAGCTATATCTGCAAAAATGGTATCAAGTCCTTGGACTTCATCTTTCTGGAAGTAAAAGTTGTGAGCATAAAATATTTGTAGCAGCATTACCTAATAATAAAGATTTCACTAGATGTCCAACCCATCTCCTTTCTTCTACCAATTACTAATGTGCATCAGTCAAATCAGAATATTATGCTATTTAATAATAACATATTTGAGTGCCAGAAAGTGATAAAGCTGTTATGCTCGATATACCCCTATTGCCATTTATGGAATTGTGCATGCTTTCTGCATAGCATGCATACATACACGCATATGTAAAAAAGCATCCCTACAAACAAAGAGTTTTCCCCTTTTACTTCTTATCTTTGGTAGAAGAAAAGGTATTAAGAGGAAGAAGGGCAGGTATTTTCTGCCTAGAGGATAAGATATTGATCTCTGGGTTTGAAGACTAGTTCTCCACTTACTTGATAAGTTATTCAATAGATATTGCCTCAATTTCCACACATGTAAAACAGATATAAAATGACTACTTCTTTGAGTTATTTTGAGATTACGAGATAAGGCATATAAAGTGCTCAGAATGTATAGAATGCTCAGTAAATGCCAGTCGTTATTGCTCTCTCCTATCTCCTTTATCTCAGAGCAAACACAGCTTCTGTTGTTTTCTAAAGACTTCTCTACTCCCAGCTTCTCCAGGTCCAATCGGTATCCCAGAAACAGCCTGACTCTCAGAATAAGAATAATAAACTTGCTTGAATACAAGTGTGTCATTTTTGTCTTTAAGGTAGATGAACCTTAATCTTTTGTTTTCTGATGACCCTCAAAAAACATAAACAAGGACCAATCTTTTTCTATAGTTTCAGAACTATGTTTCAATGATTAAAAGAGGAATGGGTTAAACCACTTGTCCTTCACAGCTCTCCCCTACGTGTATCTCCTTTATTCCTTATGTGTTTATAATGTGTACAACCGATTTCACTTTTCCCAGCACTTTTAGAAATGTTAGGTGATCACCACCAAAACTGAGTGACAGAAATACAGAACTTCTTACATGCCCATTTTATAGATGAAGACATGGAGGTTCTTTGTGAGTGTTATGTGGTCCATATTCACACAGTAATGGGCAAATCATAATTTAGAATGCAGCAGCTTTATTGGAAATGACTCTTTCTAGTGCTCTGAAGCAGACTCTGTTGAAGTCCTTGCCCAAGTTCAAGACAGCCATTCATAACCTACTCTTCCAAACAACAGACTTAAAATTGTATTTTGGAAACAGCTGGTTCACAGAGGGAATTGGTGAGAGTTTTTCATTCAACACCCATTTCCTCCTCTTCTGGGGAAATTTCTGCTCTCTCATTGTGGACAGTCTGAGTAGGACCAGTAATCAACATGCCTGTGAGCTAAGTGGTGGGCTCTTAGCATAGTGGGGAGCATATGATATAACCTTAAATTCTCTCTCTGAGATCTGAATCTTGAGGGAAGTAAGCTAAAGCCTTTTGCTGTTACTTTCAACTAAAGAAGCCTCAATCATTCTAAGATGAAGACCACTTGTATTATGTTTTAATGGAGCATATTTTGATGACTTGCAAACATATTAGACCCTTCTCTTTTCAATTTAAAACAAATATTTATTTTTGGTTTATGCCTAACAAATGTCTGGACATAAAAAGAATTATGAAAATTCATTTTAAAATTAAATTCATTTAAAAATACTATAGTCCATTTTTAAAAAACAATGATGCATTAAAAAATTCAGTTATTGTTAGCAATATTGTTATATATATGCAACATATGTTATATATATTGTACACAGTATCTGTAATTATAACTTTTTATTTTATATATATAATTATAATTATAGATACTCTTTTGAAACATTTTAATTTTCTTTTATACTTTTTAATGGTTGAATTTTAAACAAAAATACTCAGAACTTATGTACCAAATAAATTATAAGTGTTTCAAAGAGAGTGATAAATTTATTCAAATAATTCAGAATGTCCAATTTTGTTAATCGCTGTGATTATTTTAAATTGGTCACATTGCTGTGCACAAATTAAGAAAATCTTATAATATGATATGATTAACTATCCATCAGGCAGTTTGATCTTAAATTTGTACCTATGATTCTAAGGATAAAATAAAATTCTGTAATATTAAACTCAATTGATATAAAATAAAAAGGGAATAATCACTTCACTTTCACTTACTGAATAATGTCTTCTATCACCAATTTAAGTAATTTTGTATTCAAATGTAGATGAAGTAGTTAATATAATTCATAGATGTATATAAATGTCACTCAGGAGATTAATGGATTCAAAAAAACAGTAAGCACTATTGTGAATCATGTTCTCCTCACAATTACTCAAAAGATAACTTTTAAAACTGGTGGCAATGTATACAGAATATTTAATGAAAGACTTGCACAAGTTCTTATGTAATCCATGGCTTACAGCATACAGGTTCTTTTTATATATTGCTTGGTTCTTTACATATTTTTAATGAAAGAAAAAGGAAGCCCAGCATAAATTACTTTTTAATTATCCAGAATAATTGTGGGACTTATAAATAAGTGACAGTATAAATGACATATAAGGTCATTCAAGAAGTTCCCCTATATTATTAAGCCAGTTTAAATTCATAACAGATGTTTAAAATTTTCTGTATTCTCTAATATATCTAATCCTACCAATTGGCAAGAAGAGCAAATGACTCATTTTGGAAGGAAGAGAGAGCATTGACATTTTCAGACTGAGAGGGTTTTATCTCCTGAGAAAAAGTAATTTAGTAAATGTTACCATAATGATGTAAAAACGTTAACTCTGTATGGCCTTGATGCCTGGCAGCCTGTGAAATATCATAACACACTTTAATCCTTTACGAATAACTTGTTTTAAAAACAAAACAAAAACTCCATTCAAATAAATAGTATATAATTAATCAGAACAAATTGAGCAAGCAGGGTCATGGAATCATTAGAAATGTGCAGATAAAGTCATCAGCCACATAATGTAAATGTTATGGTTGGAAGTTAGATTGTGTTTAAACAACCTCCTCATTTTACAGGTGAGGATCCTGGGGCCAGGGGGATGTTGATGATATGCATTACGATAGATATATATTTCTATCCAGTAAAATGTACTTTTCTCCACGTGTGCTATATAATACGTATATTGTAGATTGTTAGTTTAGTTGATGTATCTCAAATATATATTAAAATTTGTAGCCTAAAAGAATCATCAACATCAAAGATTGTATGTTTTTTGGAAATTAAATATTAATAATAATTCCCCATATTAATGTTCTTCTTTAGCACAGTATAATAGTATTCAATAGATAACAAATCCTATTACATGATATTTTGGAAAGTTTGTCCAAGAATAGGAAGTTACATCATTAGAATCACAATATTATAAAAGTCTCTAAAATTATTTTCATTTTAGTTGAATTCATCTTTTGGTGTCCATGACATGGAATTGGATTTTATGTACAATCTTTTTATCATAAAGTCCTCTTGACTCCTCTATAGGGTTCATGGCAGATCAAACTCATCTGCTATTTAATGAATAGTATTTAGTAAGCTGGCATTATTTTTCTTTAAATACATCTTTGCACAGATAGTACATAAAGAGCGATAGTGATTTTCCCCTCCCACCCAATCAAAGTATGATTTCATTGGGATAAACTGCTACTGTCATTTGAAAGATAAATGCCTGACAGTGAATTGTGATTCAGTATTTCTTCATGGTTGTTAGGAACACAGGTCATATTCTGGTGACAAACAAATATTTCTTCTTACTGCGATGAGACCAACCTGAGAGACTGCCACTCCTTTCTGAGCTGTTGTGAGAGCTGGTGGTGCTGAAATCCTGAGACTGGTTGTGTGGCATTCTATTAGACAATCCCTCAGCCAATCGGTAGTCAGGGATGTAAAGTAAGGCTAAGGGTTAAAGGGCAGAGGTCATAGTGGCATCATGTGATTAGTTCACAGCACAAGCCCATGCAGAACATGCAGTTAGCAACTCAGAAGCAGATGTTGTGGGAGAGTGGAGGGATGTTTTGTCTTATCCTGTCCTAATGGAAGTAGACATGGATTGCTGATCACTATATTGAAAAAGAACTGAAAGGATGAAACCAATTGGTGTTGGTGTGTGGTGGTGGTGGTGGTGGTGGTGGTGGTGGTGGTGGCAGTGGTGGTGGTGGTGGGGGTGGTGGTGGTAGGGATTGTTCAAGGTACAGAATACATGCCGATATTTTTTTTTAATTTAGGTAGTGAACCTGGTAATGAATCACCGAGTCAAACAACAAATGCTAATCTCTATCTCATGCACAAATGATATGAAAATAACTCTTCTGGACTCAGAACCTGACTTACCATTGTTACCTTTGTTCTGATCAGGCAGAGAATAACCAAATCCCATCAGATCTGTTTTTTGTTGAATTGAACTTTTCCATTGAGTATCAGGCAGATCGACAGCCAATTCGTGTATGCTATTGGAATGCAATATTTGTGTCGTGGCATATGGGGTAGCCTGTGTTATTTGGCTGGAACTATTGTAAGTGGTTTTGGTAGTGAAGTCAATGCTGCTATAAATGGCTCCATCTGAGAGCATCGTTGCTGTTTTATCTCCTTGGCCTGGAACCGGTGGCAGCACATCTGTGGTGAACATAGGGAAATGAAACAATTTAATGATGCACAGGAAGCCCAAAACTATCAGGACTGAAGATGAAAAATAAATGTGTCATGCTGCACGTTTGCATTTCAGCTGAGATGGGCTTCATGAGCCAATGAAGGGTAGATGATATACAACCATTGCCAAGCCATCAGCCTTGGTGACAGGCAGGCCTACCGCTTGCCCTTCAAGTCTCACTGCTTAACACACCCCTTCCCCCATTTTCTTCAACTATGAATGAGAAGTTTGGGATATTTCACTACTGAAAAATGCTTTCAGTTGTTCAGTCTGTGTTAGAACCAATGAAAGTGTTAGCACTTTACAGAAGCAATAAGAGTGAATCTACAAATCATAGATGAAAACATGTCTTTTCACTTTACCCCCAAAGACATGGAATACAACTGCTGAATACACAGAAAAATTTCCAAAATTATACTATGCCGACTATGAAGTACATTTTTCTAAAGTTTTTAACTTGCCAGTTATCTGATTTGATTTCATAGCTCCAGAAATGGAAAATAATTGATAGTAAAATGTGTTCTTTTTCCTTGAATAACAAGGGAGAATTTTCATGAACAAGTTATTTTCACAATACAGCAAGATTTAACTATACGAAAAGTATCCTAAATGATCAGTGAGTTTAATTTATGCTACCAGCTCTTAGAAGTAGAGAATTACAGTTTCATGTTGTAATACAGCAACAGTAAAATTAAACTTCAGGAACAACATTGAATATCAATCAGTCCATTTGTCATTTGAGTATGCTGACTTTCTTAACACAATACTTTAAAATTCAAAACTGCCACCTCTCTCCTGAGTTCTTATTTTTGCTTTTTTGGAGAAACAGACTATGCCAATCTAAAAAAGAAACTACTACATAACACTATTTTTTCAATTGTGTAGCATTAAAATGAGTCTATAGTACTTTCTTAATAATGTATATTCTGAAAACCTCGCTTCACAGGACTTGAGGTCACCAAACCACTTGATTTCTTCATTAAAGGAAGTTTCCAAATATCTTAAAACTTTTATACTTGATAATATCCAATAGTACTTGAAACAAAAGTTGTTATAGAAATATTATTTTGTTTTTGCATTTTACAAAAGCTAAACATTGTCTTCTTTAGCAACAGTAACAAGAAACTTATAATCTATTTTTTATACTGCATAATTTAAGTTTTTCTGAAGGTTTTGAAGTATGGAATTCCAATTTGTTTTATGATTAAGTGTATATGTACTTCATTGAAGTAAATATTTTTAATGCGTATCAGTGAGATTTTTAAATATATTCAAGTTTATAATATTTTACCAGGTTGTATAAGCAAGTGAATTTTTTTTTGGATTTCAGGATTTTACAACTACTTTCTGGCCCTTCTTACTTTTAGCTATACAATAATTACAACATATGATTTTTTTTTTTCCTTTTTGTCTTTTTTCGTGTCCGGCAACGGATCGCAATCCTCAGTGTCGCGCCCGTACCGGACCGGGACCGGCAACGGGATCGCAACCCTCGGCGTTGCTCCCACACCTCGCTCAGCCAGTGAGCGGGAACCAGTCTGTACATGGGATCCGAACCCTCGGCGGGAGTGCCACCATGCTCCCAAGTGGCAGTGCACCACCGGGCCGGCCCACAACATATGATGTTGAACAAGAATTTTTCATTCTCAAGTTTAAGTATCACTTTTGCTCTCAAAAACATATAAAATTTAATAATATATCAAAGTTTGTGGAAATAGATCCTCACATTCTGGTTAAGTTTTCATATTTCTCTTTCTGCCGCCTCCACCATGTCTTTTACTGATGAATATCAAATGAATGAAAATGTTTCTCCAACATGGGTCCCAGCCTCATACATCTTAAAGTTGAGGTTCTCCAAAGCTTGAGATTTAGATTTGTTAAGCCACTTCAAATGCAAGCTTTTGAAATATCTGTGACTCCAACGACAAAAAATGGAAAAAAGTAGTCCAAGAATCTAATCCTATATAATATTACTCTAAAACAACTAAAGCTATGACTCTGGAAATAGAATCTCTCTCCCTGCTAGATGGAATTATAGTCAGCCTTCAAGTCTAAGTGCTTCTATATTGATTTTTGAGCTGCATATTGTCTTCAAATATTATTCAATCACCCCACATTTTCAAAAATAAATTGAATTACATTTCAACAGTGAAATATTGAAAGATTATACATGAAATCTGGATGTGGAGGAGAATTCTCTAACTGCAGATGGTTTGGAACGCTGGGCCCACCTTCCTCCCAACAGGCTGGACCTAAATAGGTGCTGCCACCTTTACACAGGACTTTCCATTTTACATTTCTCAGTCCCCATTTTCCAGTCCCCACCTATCCACCCTTAATGCTTTAGACTGTCTGAACTTGCACTTGTTAACATTTGTGTTTGAAACCTATGAATTACAGAAATACTTCTGTCCAGTCAGAATTAGTGATGCACTAACCCGACTACTAGTATCACTACTATCATATCATATATCACTAATCTGACTACTATCATAGTCAAGATAGTATAATTTTTCAGCACCTTGGTTATACTTGTATTCATGCATTTATTTCTTTTTGCCTGATATTATTATTTATATGAATAATATGAATCGCTGTCTTCTTCACTGTATCGTAAGTTACTTGAGGACAGGAGCATATGGGATTTATGTCTGCATTTCCAAAATTCTTTACACAGTGTTCTGAACAGAGTAAGCACTTGCTGATTGAATGTTTAATTAAACTTTTTATGGTTTGCATTGACAAAATGCAGACTTATGTGATAATTAGTAACTTTATTATTCAAAATACTATTTTCATTCCATTGAAACATGTGTTGGTATTCCATTCTTAAATGGAAAATGCTAGTATCCGTGAGTATTATTTTCAGTGAATATGGTTATACAAACATGTGAATCCACCTTCAGAATATAGAGCAATGTAGATAAAACAACCTAGTTTTTAAAACCAGTCAGACCTGCATTGTACATCCAGATGTCAAATTATTCATCTTGATAAAAATTAGGTTTTTCTTTTTACCTTTAAAATGGAAATATAATTATCTATGTTACACATTATTATGCAAAAAGGAGCTAAAATGTATTAAAAAATCCTAACAGTATTTCTGATGTATACTAAATGCTTAAAATGCCTTTCACACTGAAGAGGGATACAGTAAACTTTGCAAAAACTTTGTCTTGGCCTTGATGTTCATTTGTGAGATATTTTACACCACAAAAATGAGGTGGAAATGGAAGAAAAACCTCACAAATCTACAAATGTACCCTTTGGTCAAGTTAGATCAAGACATTTTAAATGTTAATGTACTCGCTAGGAACCAGAAAAATCATTTTCTCCCTCTTTAGGCATTTATTTCTTGATAAAGACAGAAAGTTTTGCTATTCCAATGCAAATATCAGTAAAAGAAAGAGGCAGCTATCCCTTGAATGATAAAAGCTTTGGGAACAGAATTTCTTTTGACAAAATCAGTCTGTTTTTAAGTGGGGAGGGACTCTCTGCTTTCCTGGTGAGGAGATGCTGAGGTACAGAAACTACTCATGATAAAGTCATAGCCTACAGGTGCTCAGAGTCTGGTAACCTGGGGGAGACAGCCACTATCAGAGCCTCTGGACAAGTGAGAATCCAAAATCCAGTCTGCTGGATTACAGAGGGAAGCAGGAAACTGAGGAGTCATACAAATTACTTCCTATTCTTTCATTTACTCCACCGATGCTACTGGGCACTGATTGCATGCCAAGCTCTATGCTAAACCTTCTATACAAGGGTACTTCAGAAAGTTTGTGGAAACATGGAATTTAAAAGATAACACAAGGGCCGGCCCAGTGGCGCACTGGTGAAGTGCACCGCTTGGGAGCGTGGCGGCGCTCCTGCCGAGGGTTCAGATCCCATGTGGAGACTGGTTCCCGCTCACTGGCTGAGCGCGGTGCGGGCACAACACCGAGGGTTGCGATCCCGTTGCCGGTCAGTAAAAAAAAAAAAAGGAAAAAAAAAAAAATAAATAAATAAAATAAATAAATAAAAGATAACACAAATCTTTCCATGAACTTTTTGAAATACCCTCATATAGTCATCCATTTAAGCTTCATTACACACCTATGAGGTAGGAATGGCTATTTCCTGTATTTTATTTGGACAAGGGGAGGGAATTCTTCTTATAGTTGGTATTGACAGAATGCAGATTTATGCAATAATGAGCAAATGTATTATTTGAAATAATATTTTAATTTTATTCAATTGTATTGGTAATCCATTCTTAAAGAGAACATGCCAGTATCCATGATTATCCTTCTGTGTAAAGATGGTTGTACACTGAAACATGTGAAATCCACCCACCAAGGCTTATAACGAACTCAGAATAGTTTAGCAAAGCCCAGGGTCTCCTGCATTAATTCTACCTAAAAGTGTAGAAATCTTCCAAAGGATTTCTCCACATTTGCTTGGATTATAGCACTCTCCAATCTAAGCACCCCAATTTTCTATTCTAACTTCATTCTCCACCCAGCAGCAGGCTGTACAACTTAAAACAGTACTTGGATCCTAACATTTTCCTCTTAAAATTCCATCAATGGCTTCTGTTTACCCTCTGAACAAATTTTAAACTTTATGTGGCTTAGAATGTCCTCTGTTATCTGTTCCTTTGTATTTCTTACCTTCTGGAGCCTTGCTTTTTATATTCAACTCATTAGAAAATTCATTCATTCTCAAATAGGTCAATGTCTCTCTTGTTTCCGGACCTTAAGATATGTTATTTTCTTTTCCACACTATTTTTTTCATACTTCTGACTAATTCCTACCCCTCCTTCAAATATCAGCTTAAATAACACTCCTTTCATACGGCTTCCTCACTGTCAATGGGCAGCCCTTCCATGTGGGGTACAGGCAAGGAAGTTCAAGTCCATTTACAATCTGCACAACTTTCTGCTAATGGAAAACTCACATACACCTACCAAGCCAAACACTGGGATCAGAGACTTCTCTACTCTTCCTCTCTCTCTCTTTCAGCTTTCTCCCATTGATCAGATAAAAAGGTGAATCCAGGGGAGGTGGTGGTTATTTAGAGTAGGCCCACTTTCATCTCTTTATAAAAACATATGGAGGGGACTCCAGCACTAAATTTTGAAGCCATTAGCATGTCAGCTATTTAGCACTTTTTTGTGCTTCATTAGGGATACCAGTTATCAATAGTGAAACTCCAGAAAATTTCTCTCTCAACATGTTGTCATATCGACTTAACTGTGTACTCCTTACAGCACATGAGGGTAAGAACCATCTCTTTTAATATCAATATTATGTTCTTACTGTCTGCCATAGTACCAGGCACACAGGAGATGATCAATAAATATATGTTAAGTGAGATTTAGAGAAATGAAACATCAAGTCCAAAATCATAAGCTGTTTTTAGCAGCCTAGTTTCTCATTTTAGTAATCTTACACTAATATTCTTGAAAACAGATGTATTATGGCTATTTATCTTCTTGGTTAGTAATGATTTCTTAAAAAGCTTGATTTTGCTCAAGGTAATATAGATATAATAGTTTTATTTAAAAATATTTAGCAAATGTACAGCAGTAATGTGCTTAGTTAATTTTAATTATGGGGGAAAATACTCTCAAATTTGCCCTTTTAGAAAATCTAATAAAGAAAAAAAAAAAAAAAAAAAAAAAAGGAAAAGGAAAAGAAAAAAGAAATAACATTATTTTGAAAAACACAACTTACCTCCACGCCCAAAATTCCCAATTTCATTTGGGCCACTATTGCTATTGTTTACTGGCAAGCTCGTGGCTGGCCATGAATCAGCAAGCCATGGGTAATTGGGATCACCAGCATTTAGAAGACCTGGACGGCTGAAACAGAAATTAGAAGGAAATCAACCCATGCAGCTCAACGTGAGATTTTGACACCTGTCTCAAGCACTAAAAAGGGGTAAGGAATTTAAGAAGATTTTAATTGACTTCAAATTAAAATACGTAGGCTCCCAAAGATTAAGAAACTTCTTCAGTTCGTTAAAGCTATATTAGAACAACCCTGTCAGCGGAAGCAGAGTCCTTGCCTGGGATTCTGCTTACATCCACATGAATTCAGTTGTCTGCCCTGAAACTGGTGGAAATTGGTAACAGTGGGATCCTGAAACAAGATTTGATGATAAATTGGCATCTCAAGGGAACAATTGCTCAGAGTGACTGCTCAGAATCAGCCATTTCCAGGACTTTAGGCTATTCCTTCCTCAATTCCTGCAGTCCCCATATGTATCTGTCCCCTCTAGGCTGTAACCCCTGTCATCAGTCCTCATGCTTCATTTAGACGCAAGGAACTCGAAGGAAATTAATGCACAGTATTTATACTGTTCCATCAATAGCACATTTTCAAGTTCTCTAAATTGCAAGATATCATGGGTGTATTAAGGGTTTTTTTTTTCAAGGTAATAAAAGATCCGCTATGATCTGATTGAGTATGTGAGTATAGTCCAGGAGGAAAACTTCCTTCACATCATATTTAATAAAGAACTCCCTCCTTTAATATAAAAGACGGGATTGTGATTCCCTTCCAGATTATTAGCATATTTACAAAGAAATAGAACATCCATAATCATTGTACTTTTTTGGATAGACCCCTTCTGGTACAATCCCTAAGAGAAACATGTGTTTCTATGGAAACTGCAGTAAGAAGATCCAACTGCTTTTTTGCTACATCCACTAGCTCTCATTAGACTTAATCTCTTTTTGCTAAAATATTGATTAAATGGGAGATTGGAAGTTATTACCAGGGCCTAATTACAATCTCCATATTGGCAAAGGGAAAATAGATGAGGATATATGGGTTTGTTATCAGCTTTTATCAATTTCAATTGAGTATCCAAAGTTGTGGAATCCAGTCCTATCAATCTACAGCCTATTCATCATCCATGAATCATTTACTTTGTGATCGATTACATGTAATTGTTCACTCACAGCAATTTAGTGAGAGCCAATAAGGAGTCTTAAACAACAGCAACTTCATTTGCTAATGTCTAATTAATGCAATAAACATCCTGCTAACAAATGAACACATTCCTTGTGATATTTACTACTAATTTCTTCAGGGGCATCTGGGAGATATGAAACATCTGGACTTGATTCCTCTAAAGTGCACAACAGACAGATCATTAAACCTTGTGGTAAGCCATTTAATTCCTCCTAGAATTCTCAGACTTATAAGTGATTGTTTATTACAATAATAGCCTCTTACTATAGAGCTTCATTTCCCCAGTCCTGATTAAAAATAATAATAAAAAATAATCTCCTTAGCATACCTTCCATTGCTCATTAGTCCTCCATCCCCTCTTTGAAATGTAACTGTAAAAAAAGAAAAGAAAAGAAAAGAAAGACATACACACACAAGTAGTCAATATTAATTACGATTAATAACAACTACATATTGGCCCTTAGTTTACAGCTGACGCCTCTGGGAATTTTAACAAAATATAATTAACATAATTGTACAAAGAGTAGCAAGCAATAGTTTGGTCCAGGACAAAGCCATCATTTGCTCCAACCTTAATAGGGTATTTTAAGATTCTTGAAGCCAAATGTATAGTTAAGTTAAAGTGGCAATTTGTATTAGGATTCAAACACTGTTACAATTGGTATATATAGCGGTATTGGGAGATCAGCACAGCATTAATGTGGAATTATCTTAATACAAAGATGCCCTAATTAAAAGGCATAAGGCAAAACGTACATAAAAGAAACTGAAACACAATAGTTCAAATAAGTAATATCCTTCCAATGAAAAAAGAGAAATAGATCCTCATTGACTACAGATTTCTCACCATCAAAGATCTTTTTAGGGACCCTTACAAGCACTATGATTTGAACAGTTACGATTACAATAGACATGAACTATAATTAATAAAAAATAGAGTGCTCATGACAATGAAATATTTAGATAATTAATACTAAGTATACTTCAGCGGTATGTGTAATGATCACAACGCTTAAGTCCTCTATGTGTACTTATTAGCAACACCAACAAGCATCCGGTACAGCCAAAGCCAGTGAGCTCACTTTCTCCAGTCAATAGTTTCCATTTTACAAAGCCAACAACGTGAAAGTAGCTTTCTAGGACTGGTCAAAGAACATAAATATAAGGTCAGGTTTTCCATCCCTTTTCAAAAAGCTTTGTAGCCAAATGCATTTGGATTTCAAGATGATTCAGAACTGAAAAAGGTAGCATACTTTGCATACTACAAAGATGGTCTGAGGCAGCAAACTGTACTTAAATTTATTTAATATTTCTGTAGTGAAATGTGAATATCCATGATTAATGGGATAAATTAAGTCTATAAATAGCTTCACATTAGTTTGGATCAAATTTTGTCATAAACTTACATGATTAGAAAGCTATGGAAAAGAAATTTAATGTTTAGAAGTGTATGGATTGCAAAATTGTAATAAACTTGTAATTCTGACCAAAATTAGTAAACCAGTCACTGCGGATGAAGAGAAAAAAAATACCCTATTCACACCTGTAAACAACATAACCTATCTTTGAAAAACATAGATTATATTTACTATGATTTCTTTACTTGGTGAGTAAAGGTGAAAATAAATGAAATTTTTATGAATTGATTCCTATTTTAAGTAACCTGAGGATATACTGTCATTTAAAATATACACATAGTAATTAATTTTTAATTTGAATAACTCATTATAATTCATCTGTTCCTCAAGTTTGGGCTATAAAATATAATCACTCTTTACATTTTGTATATTTCCAAAAGCAGTTCCCTAGTACCTTCTTTAAGGTCATCTAATGGCATTATTTCTCATGACATCATAATCAGGCAATATGATCACAATGACAAGGGTCTAAAAAGATTTCATGAGACAGTGAAATATATCAGGGCTTTCAGGAACATCTTTTTGGTACCCAAAATATAACTGTCTTATCAGTTTTTCAGGTAATATCACAAATGCATTGTAAAACAATCCTGATATAAACTTTGCATCTGTCCAGGACTGGCTACAGACAGCTCCTCAGAGAAGAGGAAAGAATACTGATTGCTACAGGCTCACTTAAGTGCTGGGAATCAGGAATCAGCAAGCATCTGTACACCTCATGCCCCTTTATGAACTGTTTTTAACAAAAAAGAACTGATCTGAAACAATTAATGCAAAAATTGAGCACTGAAGATATTAAAGTCCTGATTAGAATACACATGCACACATATACATACACACGCTGTGAAAACAGTACAGCTAATTAGCTTTCAATCTGATGCGATTTTTTAGTTAGATGATTTTCAATGGTCTATCAAGTGATTGTTTCACTCTGTTGAAAGAGAGTTCGGACAATGCTGTGAATATCACTGTGAATATGCAAATAAGAAGGCATTGATGGGCCACATCTCAAAATGTGCTAGTTCAGGAGATATGTGAGAACCTAAGTAGTTCTCCTTAATTTAGGTGCTCTTTTCTCCCATCCAACCTTTCTGTTACTGCCAGAGCAATAAAAAATTTTAGAGAAAAGGAGGACAACTGAAAGAGAAGCACAAAAATTGAGTTGTCCTTAACTTTTACACACTAATCAACGGCAAATTCTTCATAAAATGTAAAATTCAAAGTATTATGATGTAACACTCAAAACCTTATTAAAAAAGATATCATTCATTAAGGTTAATTTGCAGATAGATGTGTTTGGGAGTTGACCTTATGGTATGAGCCATATTTGCTAGCTGAGAATTAAATGCTGTGAGCAAAAGAATTTAAATTTCAAAGCATTTCATATTCAGCATTCAGGATGTACCCATTTCTAATATGTGTTCCAGTCATCATTTAAATATGTTTCAAATGTTTCTAGAGTGTTAATAGGTTGTCAAAATAGTCTATAAAGACATTTATTTCTGTATCTCTGCATACCAACTATACAGAGGCAAAAATTCACAGTGAATTACGTAAATACCAACTTAAAATGGCTCACATATGATTTGTATGCACAAGAATCTTCCATTTTCTTTATTTCTGTCAGAGAAAAAAAAGGCACCTTGTCATAATAGGGTTGTTTAGTTTGGTTTTTAAAGCAAGGAAAAAAAGAGAACACTTTTTCAAGTTTCTTTTTTACTCCATACTCTGAAACTTTTAGCTTTGTTCTTTTTTGAAAAGTAGACCAAAAGTAAGTTCTATTAGACCATGAGCTTAAAAGTAGACTACAAATAAGTATGAACAATTAGAACTCCTGAAATGGAAATCATATTTGATGTTTTGATCAGAATTTTTTTAATGCAGAGAGAGGAACATAAATATGAATGCCACAGCAAACTGAAAGCTATTTTGAGGTAGTTCTCATTTCAAAGAAATGTTTGCCTGGAAGCTGAAAGAAAAGGAGGGAAGGTAGGTGGTTGGAAAATATTGTTCTTGTCACAATTTTGATAATAATTACTACAGTATAGTAACATTGTGCCTATCAGAGATAAATTCGAAATAACTGTGAAACTTAATCAGGAGGTTCTGTGAGCATCTAAGATTAAGAACTTTCAGGGAGTAACATAGAGTAGAGTTTTTAGCTTAAAAAATCTGAAGAGCACTAAGGTTTCCAAAAAGTTCTGCAGACACCACAATCTAAAATATTTAGAACTGCATAAAATATCCTGGATTTGTTGCAATTTTTATAAAGGATATGAGGTAAAGAGATTTTGCAAGGTTATATCATACACAAAACACCTCTAATATTGCCTGACAGGGTTAATCCTAACCTCATGCCTGCTAGAACTGGGGGTGAGGACAAGGAAAAGACGACTCTGTGGTAAACTGACATTTTGAGGTAAGGAAGCTTTCAGAGTGCCTATCTCTGGTAGGCCACATTTTCCTACTCCACATGGAAACTTTAATGTGCAGACAAGCCTCATTTTCTGTCCTGATAAGCTATTTCTCAAATATGGATGTAGATTAATCCTCTCTTAATAAGCATTAACTCAGGCCAGATAATTGGAGTATAAAAATTCCATCAAATCTTTTAGCTGTCTTCAGATAGTTTTGTCAAATAACTTACATTTTACTAACGATTTAAAAACCTATATGCAAAGTGTTTAGCATTTCATAATTTTCTCACTCATATTAAATTGTTTATATTTACAGAGTTTCATAAAATCTGTTATCCTCAGAGTCAGCCATCAATCCATTAAGTATAAATGTTTTGAAAGGCTTCCCTTTGTCTTGGCCTTATTCCAAAATATTTGAAGGGCATAGCAGCCTCTGAGTTAGCAGTTCTTCTACAAGCAGATGGATATCAATCACAATGAGAAAAGATAATAGGAAATGTACTATTCTGTCAAGCTCAAAGACCAACAGATATTTTCAAATTAAGTGGATAGGTTCTGCAAAAAACTGCTGTTAAAAAACGAAGAAAAGATAGTCTGATGTCATTTTATTAAAAGTACAAAGCTACTAACTATAAGAGCTCTTTTATTTATAAGTAGTGAGTGCATGAAGAAGTATGAAGGATAAAAATGTAACATTCCAAATGCGGCTGTATTAAAACTTTGCACTAAAGTGACTAGCATAGTCCATCTTTTATTATCACCAAAGTCAAGTGAAGGGACAAACACAAAACAGTCCTTGAATTAAATTAGCTCTTCCCTATGTTTTATATGATTTGTACAAGTGTGTCACAGAGACGAAATATAACATGGTGATTGAACAGATGGGTTGATGGACAACACTTTCAGCAATGAAGGTGGAGGAATGGGCTGCAAAACAGGAAGGTTCATTAAAGTATCATTAATGCTCAAAACTGACACTCAGCAGTTACTGCTGAGTGCCCCTTTTGAAGAAGAATCCCTCACTGGTGAACTGACACAGCACTTAGATGACAAAGTATAAGGAAGCAGGCAGCCAGCAACCAGAGAAATGAGAATGGCAGAATGATGGCATGTCACCAAGTATGGAAGCTCCTTGTCAATACATACGTTACACTACTTTGTCTAGTCCTGGAAATTGATTCTAGCCAGGAACTTATATAATTCATCTTCATTAAATCATATGCATGAGACACAATGTTATAATCAAAGAATCATATTTAAATGCTGTTAAATAACTAGCAGGACAACCAAGCTGGTGCTTAACACTTTTACTAGCTAGACATTCTCAGCAGCTTGGAAGCTTCCAAGTTACAGCAGCTTAGACATTTAATAAGCAGTGACGCCTCTGTCAAAATGAGTTGTTAAGATGTTTATGCTTCTTACTGAAGTTAATATTAGAAATAGGAGATTAAATATACTGTTTCAAAAACTTCTAAAATGTTTGTAAGATGCTGTTAAGTTAAAATTGTTCCCTTGTAAAGTCAAGAAAGTGTGAAATATATTTAAAATGAATAGCAATTAAAATTGTATTGAACATGGCTTCAGTATTGGGTTCATTCTCTCAATCACTGACTTTATAATTTTATCTGTTTTCTCCCCCCCCCCCCACCTGCCTCTGTCTCTACCTCTATCTCTCTAGCTGTAGCTCTAGCTCTCCTTCTTCCCTGGAGATATTTTGAAGGCCAGAATTTCTGACATTTTTGAAACTCTGTCTTGAATTCTAAGAAGAAAATATTTTTTGTGAATATGTAGACCATCTAGGTGTCTTCTTTTTCTGCTTCTGCTTCTTCTAATTCTCCTTTGGCTTCCTTCTCCTCTTTCTTTCTTCTGGAATACTGCTTGTTCACATTGAAATAGACACCCTATTTAAGTGAATAGTAAATCACTTAATTCATGCCTCCTCAGTCTTATTAACTCTGGTGAGATTTTTGCTTGTATCCTCCATCTGGGGCATTTGTTATTGTAATCTGCATCCTGAAATACTAAAAGCTTTATTTCAAATCTTTCCTTTTTTCCTGACAATTTTAGTAATGCTCTTACCTAAATCCACATCTCAAACAATGGCTTCATAGCACACAAAGTGTGTGTGTGTGTGTGTGTGTGTGTGTGTGTGTGTGTGTGGTTTTGAAGAACTAGTTGAGAAAAATGGGTAAGCATTTTATCAGTGTGCACTCTTGTTATGCTTCACTGGAGATACAAGGAAAAGAATTGCTTTAAAGTGATATGGTCAAGAGCATTGCATTAAGCATGTTGTTTATAATTGTATTTTACAGAGCAGGTTTTTAAAACAAGCCAAAATCACTCATTTGTTATTCCTTTCCATTTCTTCCTTTCATTAAATTACATTCCTGAAGATAAGAGGTTTTCTTAGCTGGAAATAGTCTCTTACCAGCATAATTACTGAGTCCCTTTCTCTTCTTTCTTCGCCAATACAACCAGATGCTAAAACCCATCAAAATTACCCAGCAGGCACCACCAATGCCAGCTATAAAGGCTGGTTGCTTCACAACATCAGTGATTTGCTCAGTTATGCTGTTATTGTTTTCAGTAATAACAACTTCATTACGTCCCCCTATGGAAGAAACAATAGTTTTAGTAAATATTAAGACAAAAATAAACACAGGAATACAACATGGTTCACCAAAGGCACAGAAAATTCCTCTGAAAGCAGATATTTGTTTTGTCCTGAACCCTTCACAATTACTGATAAACATGTTTTGTAAGTTTCAAAAGAAGAATCAAATCATGAGTTTGAAAAGGTGATTAAGAACATTGCTCTGTTGTGTTTTGGTTTGCTATGGACAAATTCAGAACCACTTCTTGATTAATCACCTAATAAATAAGTACTAAAACAAGCACTGGGAATTGAAATAACAGCAACATTTCTTGAGTTACATAATGTATTTTTTTAATATGGTTCTCATAAATTTAAAAATAAAAGGCAACTACACAACATTCAGCACAGATATTTGCAAGTGGTCTTTCTGCTACAGCACTGTCCATATTCAAATGTTCATGATTCACAAGAAAATCTAACTTAATATTGCCTTGATTATCCCACCGAAGAACTTATTCAGATCATATATCCTTTAATTTTCTGGAAAGTATTAAAACTACCTCATAAAACAATGACAATGATATACACATCCTTTCACAGAGATCCTCATGCATAACTAAAATGTCATAAAAAGATAAAACTCATGTATTCCTTTAAAAGTATTTGAAACTAATTTGAAAATCCACTTGAAAGTTGAATATAAAAGACAACTTTAAAATTAATTTTAAGATTTCCATAACTAAGACATACATTTAAATCTGGACAAAAATTATTTTAGAAGTGGTCATGTTTTGAAAATTTAGACCTCTCAGAGTTAATTAAAAATATATCAATCACATTTTAAACAGGTTTTTAACTCATGGAATCATTATATCACTGAAAAGCAAAGATTTATGTGTTTAACTGACTAAAAAATTTAGACACTGAGAATTAAGGGATTTCTAATGTCAATATCATACCTAGTTAGTGACTAATCACAAAGTTTCAAAAGGTAAATTGTAAGCAATATATAAATGGCAAATTCAGCATATCACATCAAAGGAGTGTGTGGGCTTTTCATTGTTTTAGTTAGCATGGCACTATAATATATCAGAAAGGGCATAGTGTTTGAAATCCTGGATTTGAATACCATTTCTGGTATCTAGCTAAGTAAGCAGTAAACTTACATAGGGCCCTTAATCTTTTTGAGCCCCTGTTTTAGTTAGTTGACAACGGTACTATCTACTTCATATATTTTGAGAGGATTAATGTAGGTGATGTATATAAAGAGGTTAATAGGAACACAATAGTTTTTGATTCAAAATTATAACCCAAATAAGGATAAAGATTACTTTAAGAACCTCTCAGCTAACTTGAGGGAAATGAGTGATAAATGATCTAGATTTGAGAATCCTGCAAACCACAAGTGATTTGTTCACCACACTGTTTCTCCTTTCTAGAGCAGAAAATTAGCCTACATTTCCCAGCATCCCTTGCAGTTGAGTGCAACAAAGTGACTGAGTATTAGCCAATAGTACGTAGGCACAAGTGATGCACACTACCTCCGAGCCTGACCCATACCACTGCTGTTACAATACTTGATACTCTTCCTCTTTCCTCATCTGTTGACAGAAGTAGGGGATCTGTTGAAGGACTGAGCCCCTAAGAGATGGTAGAGCTGCCTGGAAAGATCCAGTGTTCCTGAATGACTATATAGAATAGAAACCCCATTTCTCATTCTGCTGACCCATATTAAACTAGGCTATTAATAAGAAACTTTTATTTTGTTAAGCCAATCAACATGCAGGCTTACTTATTATAGCTGCTAGCATTTCTTTGGATATACTTATATTCCATTCCTGAAAAGTATTTTGTATTAAATTCTAGATTTAAAAATCACCTTCACTTGTGTAGCAAACCTGGTTTATTTTCTCAATATGTTTACTCTTAATTATTATACATGTAAACACAGTCAAAACTGTATTTAAAATGAGATCATATTTTCAATATGAGACATATAACTATCTGGTGATTTTCTTAGCTATTAGTTTCTCAAAAGAAAACAAGCACTTTATAAAACAAAGAGAAAAAAATGTTCTTCATTTTTGTAAAGGGTCTATAAAATATCATATTTAGTATGGTGCAATATTTAAATAACGCAAGGTATATTACTATTTTTTATGCTGCTGATATTTTTTGAAACAATGCTGTCAGATGGACTAATTAGAGCATAGACAAGGGATGTGTTTGACCTGTAATGCTCCATCGTTCTTAAAGACAAAAAATATAATGAAATATAATGTCTTCCTCCCATTGGAGAGTAATGAAGAACAAAACTAATTTGTTGGACTAAAAATTAATTAGACACATCAGATTCGATTGTACCTATTACTGTGAAAGTTTGCAGCTGTTCCACATATTACCAACTATGCAACATAAGCATAAAAAGGCCAAATGATTAGAGAAAAACAGCTATATTATTAAGCAAGATTAATGAAAATTTTAAGTCAATGTAAATTTGTTATATGACATACTGTTTGATGCTTATATGTGGGAATGTAATTGGTTGCATTTTTGTGTCTGTAGGTGCAACAATATAGAATTGTGGACACTTGGATGTAAGAGTCACCTCACTTTGGGAGACTGCAGAGAAAAGAACAACACTAATTGTAAGCCTGTGTAAGGCTGTGAGTTATATTATTACAATATTTTAATTAATGGTCCCTTATGGAACTTTCTGGAATAAAGACTAAACTGAGAGGGAATAGATGAAACAGTACATGGTCTAGCATAAGACAAATCTAAAATTATGAACCATAAATTACATCAAATGCCAATACATGATTTAATTAAAGCAAAGGGGAAATGAGATAGAGCTTGAGTCACTTCAAGTACTGTTTCCAGGACTGAATGGACAATAGAGGAAGCATAAATCTAAAGGGAAGAGAGATTAGCCATTGCTAAATCACTTTTCAACTAAAGAATAACAGTTGTGTAGATAAGGTTATCAGACAAGATGTTAAGGTAGATATGCATGGGTAATTAAAGAAACAATTAGAAGGCTTCTCCGTACAACAGTAGATATTAAAAAGAAATGAATCTCTAAAGGACAAATAACCTTTTCTGGGTTGAACTGTGCTTACTTGTATGTGCGTGTGCTCATTTCAAGGGCCACAGTTCTATTTTTTATGATTACATCTTGAGTACAACATATCCTAACTACATGAACAGGAGGTAGAAATATCATATACCAGAATAGTTTTTATTTTGTAGAAAAATTTGAAAAACGTTTGAATGATATACCAAACAATAAATTTAAAAACACGCATTATCTATTTGAAGCATGATAGAAGAGTTAAGTAAAACTTTCTAATTTTATTTAAAATAATCTAAATTAGCTTTATTATTTTAAGTTACTGTATAATTGTTCAATACATAACTGTGATTCTCATACATGAGCTTGGTTATAATGTATGTTTGCAATTTTTTACTTGCCTCTCAGTGCAATAAATCCCCCCAAAATTGTGAGGATAATAGATAGTCACTAGGAGCAAGAAAAGAAAAAAAAAAGAAGGAAAAAACTCTCCTTTGAGAAATAATAGGAAAAGAAAACATGAAACAAAAAGTATAGTTATATGGCAATTTTACTTATCTTTGAGTTAGAACAATTATATTCAGTAGATCCATTTCATATATATGCTGCATAGACAGTAAAAAACAAAGTTCTGTTTACTTATCTAGGGGCTCTAATGAAAAATTATACCTTTATACATGATTTTTAAGTGAAAAATTAATGGCTCATTTCTAAATACCACAAATGAAATACACACACACACACACACACACACACCTGTTAAATCCTTTTGGGTGTACCTGTACTTCTTATTCCAATTTATTTAAGAAAATCTCAGAAGGGCAAGATTGTAGGTTTCCCTCAGGTTAAGAAATTAATTCAGTCTGAATGACTAATTAAGAAAGGGAAGGCAATTTAAAGAAAAGTTAATACGTTAACTTTTTCTCCTCATTGCCTTTACTATATAAAAGAAAGAAAACTTGGAGAATCTGAAAAATTCAAACACTGACTGAATGTTAAATCTCTCCATATGTGATAAATACTTTGTAATAGAAATAATTATACAGAACCTGTCAATATACTTTCTATGCATCATTTCAGAAAATACAAAATAATGGGAATGACTTGTATCAAACTGTGAGTAGATATTTTAAGAATATGTAAACACTGAGAAAAATATTTTTCAAAACTTAAAAGCACTGCCAAACTAATAAAAGCAGGAAGGACTGAAAGGGATGTGCCTCTTGAAGGAAAGGGAGCTCTACTAAGGGAAATAAGTATTTATGAGGCTTTTTCCCTTTAAAGATCAATTCAATCCGCGCAGTGTGAGGCAGCTAATACTCAAGTTGAAAACTTTAATCTTATTAATATGGGGTGGCAGAAGATAGAGTTCAGGTTTGCTGGAGTGAATAAAAACTAATGTAAAAGAGGGAGCCAGTGAGGAGTGATGTTTCCAAATCTGCACATAATCTCCCCTTAAATCCTAAGGGAACTCTAAACCATGCATGCAGAAAGAAGACCGTAAGTATCTGGTGAAAAGCAAAAGAAGGCTGGAAGGCTAAGCAGAGGTTTCAGCTCATGTCCACTGCAGAGGAGACTGTGATTGAAGTTTGAATTTTTTTAGGGGACCAGATAAACAAATTAAGCTTATCACTGAAACCCCAGGAGGGCCATGCCTTAGAAATAAAGTTAAACTGAGGTTTTGCCTTAAGAATAAAGGCAAAACATAAACAATCCCATACTAACAAAATGTAAAAACCGAGACACCACAAGATCAAAAGTAATCAGCAGTAATGTAACTGCCTGCTAAAACAAAAACCAGTACTCTTCAGAAGATCACAAAATGTTATGGTATGTCATCTGCAATGTCTAGTATACAGTAAAAAAATTACTAGGTATGCAAAAATTAACCAAAAAACAATAACGAGCTGGAAAAATATGACCCAAGGTCAGCAGAAAAAAT